TGCAAGGTGTAATCTGTAGTTTGAATTAAATGATGCTACATATTAAAAAACCACTTCTATTATGTAGTTCAAACGACCCAAAACCGAGACAATAAACAAAACCAAATATAGTGTGCGAGTTGAATGCATCATTTCAGATTCCACATGCTTGTTATTCACTTTGTTGCACTCGTTAGCTAATAATTGTTACAATTTAGTACAGAATTTATGTAACAGTGCTTCTGGTCTTATTAAAGTTTAAACGAGTTTACTGACAAGTACACCGTGACCGAAATGTCTACCAGTTACACGAATTCTGTTAAAATCTTCTCACAAAACGCTAGTTTTGTGTTTGATGATACAGAGCAAGTACTCAACTTGTAGGTCGATTTGGTGTATTGTAGGTATAGAAGTAAAGGTCGTCTGAATAAATCAAAATGTGGATGAATGTCAATTTGAATTTTTGTTAGTTCTGTGTTTGTTATTTTGTTCTTTCAAAATAAATTTAAATCAAAAATAACAAGCAAAAGGTCACATGTAATCTATAATTATGGGCATGGGTCAGTTGTGCGCCATGGTCAGAAATATCTGCATATAATTTTAAGGGTTAATACAATAAAGAATTGTTGCCTGTCGTAGTAGTTTACGTGGGTACTAGTCACATTAAAATAAATAAAAACTTAAAAAGCTGAAAATGTTTTATTGATCTTTAATATTCTACCAAAAGGTTCATTGGAAACAAAATAAAACAGTTAGTTAAGAAATAACTTATTGTTTTAGAAATCTATCGAAACATTTTTCAGAAAAACAGGTCTTCTGATCTTTTCACCCCTCCACTGCTGGAGTTACTATGAAATACTTATAGACAATGACAAACCCATATAATCACATGAGGTATTAAAATAACCGCGGCGCGCAAGTGTCCAACACCCCATAAATATAATGAAATTTTAGAAGCCATAATAAATAATTGTTAAAATCCGAAATACCTTTGTTGTTTTGAGATTTTGAGGTTATGTTTAAAGGAAAACTACTTAGGATTATGGTAGTGATAATTTAAAATCCTAACCCTCTCGCTGATTGCTTGAAAGGAACAAAGGTTCTACTAATCAGACATCCATGAACACATTTTAGTCAATAAAATGCGTCCTGTTTAAGATATATTTAGACCAATCAAAACACAGGAAAAACTAATTTAATTTAGTCTAAAAGGTATTAAAACAAACTAAAAATCGAAATCGTCGTCATTGTCACTGCTATCATTTAGATGATAATGGGATACAATGAATTGAGATGTAAGTTCCAGTTTTTTTTTTCTATTTTTATCACATATGCTCTGTACATTTCTCCCATAAGTTTTTGAATTTTATTTTTTTAGTTTTTCAACACTAGTACAATTTGAAATAATTTTTCCCACGAAAGATCACTTGAAAATGAATAATTTTAAGAGTTACTAGGTATCTAGAATTAGTACCAGGAATTTTTATATAAATTTCTTTCCATATTGTTTACTTTTGTTAATATCTAGAAGACGTCTAATTCGTAAAACCCTTAATCTTGATCAATTTATTGAGGGCTTCCAATAATCACTTCTCGAAATAGTTCACTATTTCCCGGACTCTACGTTACATTGTTTTAAAAAATAAAAATATCTATAACACGTGATGTTAGAAAAAGCTGATACATTTTTTAGTTTTTTTCAAACTTGACATCCCGTCCACCCGCCCTCTCTTGTCTTAGACGGTATCTCATTTGCCAAAATCAGTTTTATGTTAGAAAGTACTAGCCCCGCCCAGCCGCCCTCTCTTTTCTTAGAGGTTACTTCATTTGCCAAAATGACTCTTATCTTAGCAGGTACTAGCCCCGCCCACCCACCCTCTATTTTCTTAGAGGGATCTCATTTACCAAAATCAGTCTTATCTTAGCAGGTATTAGCCCCGCCCACCCACCCTGTCTTTTCTTAGAGGGTATCCCATTAGCCAAATTAGTTTTATCTTACCAGCTACTAGCCCCGCCCACCCACCCTCTTTTTTCTTAGAGGGTATGCCATTTGCCGAAATCAGTTTTATCTTAGCAAGTACTGAACATCTTCTCTAGTTGGTTATACTTTAATGGATTTTTCTTTCGTTGATTTTGTTTTTGTTTATAATTTATAAATACCTTATTCATTTTTTTTTAGGTTTATTTATTAATGACTACTTGTTGTTCTGATTATTCTCATAAAAAAATAAAAGGTGAATTTCAGTCACCATCGATACCAAGAAACCTGAAAGTAAGCTGGATCTATTCATGCATTAGGTGCGTGCAGTGTTGCCAATTTTACTCTTATAAAATTACGGTTTTTTTTTTATTATTTTTTGGGGACAGTCGAAACTCCCGTACATGCCGTACTGAATCCGCCATTTTCCAGACACCCGGTATACGAATGTTATTTTATAAAATTTAAATAACCTTAAGAAATCATGAAACGTCGAGAAAACATGAAGGTAGTCAGTCGCCCTGGACCCTATTACAATACTTCCCGGGTTTACACTCGAGAAGTAACAGAAAAACTTCCGGAATTAACGACTGATAAAATTCGTCACCAGAGAATTCAAAAGAAGTGACAATTAAGTCTGAACGAAAATGATCTTTAAATTACGGCCGCAAAATAACGTCTGCATTCCTCAAGAAAAACCGAAAACTAAATACCCAGAACAATAATTCTGTTCTATTCTCTAACACAACTATAAGCTCTAACGCACTTGCGTCTCGTCACAATTATTCTACCTTCCTTCAATTCAACACTGTTTAATCACATTCATTTTGCACTGGCTACCATTTTCACCTGAATGTACTGTTTGATAAGGGTCAGGATAGTTTAAATTAGTGTCATTAGTGTCCAAGCTGTCGCCTCTCTGGTCGATATAGTTTTGTTCTTGTATATTAATGGCTGCTAGACCTACGCCAGTTTTTCCACGCCACATTTTCCACATTTTTTTGTTTCACACAACTCCGTAAAAGTTTTACGTCCACACTTTTACTACTTCCGGTATTCCTCGATACATTTTGTGCAATACACTTATCTACTCAGTCATTATTTTCAGCACTAAACCGTAAAAGTGTCATTAAAAAAACATTCGGTTTAGCGGTCGTCAAAAACGTTATGTTACTTAGCAACTTATAACAATCGAACGATGACAGGATGAACTTTCGGTAAACACAGAAAAAATTTGAGGCTTAAAACTGAACAGAGAACGAAAAGAAGCAAATTAATTTTTAATAAAAAAAAATGTCTACGGAATTAAAAGCCACTTCAGAGTTTGAAAACTTGTTACTCTGTAAGCAAAGACATCAGATCGAGGTAAGTAAACGCAAAAAAAAATCAATAATCAAGTGTTTTAACTTCAGGATTAGGGTTTGATGTCCCCGAGAATACTGGTAAATATTTTGCGACAATTTATTAGGGCCTTAAAGCAATGCGTACTCAATATTTTGTCATATCGGGCGAGCAATATAATTTGTTATCGAGGCATCTTTGGAATTGAAATACGTCTAAAACAGTTTTAATTGCCGATAAATTTTAAATAGGCAAAAAGTAAAATCCTTATAAAGTGATTTTTAATTTTGATCTAAATTTGACATCAGTTATCATAACATCTGGAATTTGATATTTAGGATATTTATTATATTTGCTTACATGTTTCGATAGTATCAAGTATCATCATCGGAGCAAGCAACCGTATGGTATATTGTTAGTTTCTCCCTCCTCTTCCACCTCTCTCATCTTTTTATGGTGACTAGCGCTTTCATTTTATAAATTTATTGCTTCTAATATTATCCACACACGTTTATTTGTAATTCATGTAAGGTGTTAATTATTTAATGTTAAAAATTAAATTCCCCGTCTACAGCGCAATCTTCATACGGAAGTTGTCAAGCTATAAATAACCAGGCAATCTTGTAGGTCTTTGGTGTTTAGTATTCAAGCGATATCTCTAATGATTCCTATTACTTTGTCATTACAAGCTAGTTAAATACAGTTAACAATTAAGTGAAATTATCTTGGTATTCTAAGTACAGACGTTTCGCTTGGTCGTACCTGAACGCATGATTACCGACCAGGTGACGCTATTTCAATATATTTCCCGCAACTCAATACCAACTAATAAACTCATAATATCCCCTTCAAAACATAATTCCAGCAACATTTCAACGAACAACAGCGGCACGTATTTTAAATCTATCATCGCAAGCCTCATCGAAAACTAAAGTAAACAAACAATTAACGCTCAAAGTTGCAATAAAACTTTGTTTACATCGTGTTTGATTTTACGGCAGCTGTTTCCTCGTGTGAGGCTTTTTACCCAACGGTAGCACGTGTCTTCTTAAATTCGAGCTAATAATTCGATCTCGCACGACTCAACCGACTGTATATTTTCCTCGATTTCCTAGCTAAACCGTACAATTCCATTACACTCAATACCATTTCCCCATTTCCATCGATTCCCTTACCTCGAGTGACGGTAATGATTGCAGATCTACACAATTTCAATTTCTTAACCGAAAGAAAGTTTTTTCTGTTTAGAGGACAAGATTTCCCGAGCGGATAACGTCACGTTCGGGAGGTTTTCGGTTCAAGCTTCTTTCTGACAGCTTATTAAGATTGATATTGTTTGAAGAAATTACGCGGGAAGGGGGCTTTCCAGAACGAAATGCCAGAATCTGGAATTGTGCGATGTAGTTGGATGAAACTGGGGTCCTAATGACTTTAGCGGAGAACTGCGCGAATGAAAATGAACGGGATTAGAGTTGGCTGCGGTGTACGACTTGCGTAAAATTCTTTGACGTAAGTGTCTTAAAAGAATGTTTGGATGTAGACGTGACAATTAATCTTAATCTTTAAAGATGTCGTGACAGCAGTGACAGTACTGCCAACTTAAGTTTTGAATTCACACCTCTTTTAGGTTCCAGTTGGTGTGTTGTCCAGAAGCAGTGTAAAGAATTTGGGGAAAAGTGGGTTTTGAGAATGAAAGACGTCGTTCCACTGATAATAATTATAATAATTATATTTACATTTAGCCATGGAACTGACTAAGACCATGTTTAATAGAAAAATAACTTATATGATATATAATAGATAATTATAATACAATAAAGTATTTACAACGAAATTAATTTAATGATCGGTTAGATGCGGACGTCGATGGGCTCGAGCTTAAAATATTCATGAAATTATAATTTTATAGCTTTGGAATATTAGGTCGATTAAGCGAATCAGGGCCGGGATAGATGTAAAAATCTCGAGCACGACGAGGCCCGGTCGTAAAATACGAGACAAAGAGCACATCTGATGTATGAAGCTAACTAACCAACAATAACTACTCAGCTACTGTCCAAATATTGACAAATACATTATTGAGTTTCCAATAAGATTATCAGCAATTTACAGGTCTTAAGTTCTTCACGGTTTTTGGACGTCCTAAAATTGGGATAAATTTATGTACAAAAGTCTAGGCGTTAAAAGTCTGCAAATAAATTAACTAAAAATCCTTAATAAAAAAATAACACAGTCGTTCTCTCTTTCGAATCTACATAACTTTGAAAATTGCTTCGTCTTGTCTTGCGCAGTAGAACTAAATCAAATTGGTTTCACAAGAACAGTCTCAAGCAAACAAACTTGCACTTTCGACATTATTGGCGAGTAAAATGTTCGAATTTAGACTAGTTTTTATACACATATACACTTATAATCATTTTTTAAGAGTCCCGGTGCTTTCACTCGCGTTAACACTAGTCAAAATTTCACTCTTTCACATAAAACTTAGGAACTTTTTTTAATCATCCTGTTTGGCGCGAGTTGTTTTGATTGCGTCACAACTATGTCGTCACACTTGAACTTCGTGTCGTGCAGTCTTTTCCGATTCACTTAAAAAATTGCTGTTGTGGGCACCCTGGAATGTGACTTCCGGCGTCTCACAGTTGCCGTATTTGGTCTCGTCCGCAGACATCACAGATATTATTGGTTGGAAGCCTGAAACAATGCATTACTGTTAGAAAAATACAGTAAAATACAAACAACGCTAATCAAACATATTTATTATGTGTAAACATTCACACAGTAACGCCACGGTTATTATTTTTTCACGAATACAGTTACCACTCTGTAAATACGCACTATTCAAACGTAAACAATGCGCTTGCTATTTTACGCTAAATTCCCGAAATTCACTAATTTGCGATAACGGGACGCAGTAAACGATGTTCACTTAAAGTCGGGTCGTTTTTCCAACTTTTTAAACCGGCAATTTTGATTTAATAATAATATAAAAAGAGAGAATTAAATAACAATAACTTATGGTAATAACTGTCCGTATTAACGGCTTCAGAATTTGACGATCTACCAATATGGAAAATTATTAATATTCAAATTAGTTCAAAGACTGGTCAATTTAAAAATCATTCACTCTTTATAACCGATAATAATCATAATATTTTAATATCGTCATATAAAAATGATTTATACCTTGTTTTCACGTCAAACTTCAAGGAAAATTTTGGACAAATCGTGCCAAAAGTCTCGTCTGGATATTTATTTCAGTAACAAATAACGGTCATCAAATGTATACGCACATAAACATAATAAATGGACAAAAACAATTCTTGCAATAAATTATAAGTTTTATTTTCCACAAATTTACTCTATGTTGGCGCTACGATGTCCTCAAAATTTTGAAAATATTTAATTCTTAAATGATGATTGTTATAATATATAAACACTTAAATTAAAACATTGATCTAGGTGGTCACCAATTCATTCGTTCATTGAACTCTTTTATACAAAATAGCTCGTTCGAAAACCTCACGACTTTCTTATGGTCCGATAGTTCTAACATGATGCACTTTATTTATTTTAATAAGCTATAATTGGTCCAAATTTGTGCTCGGAATTTAAAAGTTGTCAAAAAGATGTGACCTGTTTTACAAGTATGACTATCCTGTACATCGGACAACAAAGATGCTTTTCATTTGAGTCAACACTTAGGTACCCGATAAAAGCAACTTTGAAATCGCCTGGGTTATGTGTGTACATATTTATAAGCTTCAGCTTCCCCGTACTTGTACAAATAGCAGTAAAATTAAATAACTTTATTCTGTGAGCGCAGCAGTGGAACTATCCATGCATCTCAGCAAAACAAACGATTTTTATTCCCGCAGCATACAAATTTCTATTTAAATGCACAATAACGCAGCGGTGCATAACTTTAAAATTGTATCCAGGAACAGCGCGTTTTCTCTTAGCATCACTTCAATTATTAGTGCTCCTATCGATCTATTACCCGACATGACAAGTAATTTGGGCCAATCGCCCGCGGTCAACAAAGTGAAGTCAAACAGAACATGCGAAGGGCTGCTTGGTCGCTGTTTACCCCTCTTTAAGAAATAAACTCAATAAGGCGATTAATTGAGGCATGTGTCGCTTGTCGCAGTGCGGTGCATTACGTCAACACAAATACTCGCATGTCTCATTGTGGAATCTCGGAGTTATAGTCGCGTGATTTAACGAGTTTTTAGGAATATGAAATCGGTCGGGGAAGCACCGATCACGATAGTTTGTCGAGGGTTACAAAATGAAAAATATTCCAGCCGGTGCGCGATACATGCGGCAACGACGCATGAAAAAGGGCATCAATCTATCAAGTTGCGTGAAGAAAAAGTGATTCCACGCATCCTCGCGTGATCGTCGCCATTACAGAGACAAGAACTAATGTTAATTGGAAGTTTACCTGTAAACACAGCTACGTTCAAATAACGTTTACTATAGGTGGAGCGCTGCTTGAAATTTTCAACTTCGTTTTCTGGTAAGTAGAATCTAACGTCGTTGCAGTCACTTTATTTACTCGTTAATTACACATCTCAAGACAGTGAATAGTGGTGTCCCGCAAGGAGGCTTGTTAGACCCCTTATTTTTCATAAATTGCATTAATGATCAAATGATTAACTAAGGTAAGAATCACGAAAAATGTGTTTACCTGTGTATCCGGTGAAGTCTTCAACGAGCTTGTGGCTCCGGATCGACGTCGAGCCGGTGATCATGTTATCTATGGCGTTGCCGTACCTCCTCCGACACCTCCAGAAGGCCACGCCGAGTACCACGGCGAAGAGGAGAACGGCGAGGCCGGCGCCCCACATGGCGTCGCTGCTGTACCACTTGGGCTTGACGTTCTCGCCCTGGAACGCGCTCACCAGCACCGACAGCAGCGGTGACTTGAAGTCGATGTCCTCCGGGATCTCGGCGGACATCAAGTTGAGGTCCTCTTGGCTCTCCGTGGAGACTTTCTGGGCGCGGCCCGTGTCCAGGTCCATCATTTCGGACTTGAGATTTTCAACTCCGGGGATGCGCGAGACGAGTTCAACTTGTATGTGATAGACTGTATCGGGCCAGAGGGACAAAGTGACACAAGTCGAGTCGGTGAACAAGTTCCCTTTCAGGCCGCCCCCGTCCACTTCCCAAGTCACCAAGTAAACGCCGCGACTGGCTTTCGGTTCCCAGGCGATCTCCCCAATCACCAAAACTTTCTGATGGATGAGGGACACCTCCCGCAACACCCAGGGGGCGTCGGCGTCGGTCGTCGTGCTTTTGCTGGTCGTCGCCTTGATTTCCGTATTGACGGTCTTCTTTTTCTTCTTGTTCTCCCGAAAACTGGCCTCGTCGGGGCTGTAAATCGTCACTAGGCCTTGCGGGTGGACCACGAGCACACGCAGCATGGCTCCGCGCTTATCGGTATTGAGGGGCACCCGAGTGGTGAGATCCAGCGTCTGGATGATCTGCCGCCAGACGCCGCCTTGGCTTTTGATCATCACCACGTACACTAACGGGGTCTTGGACTCGACGGAGGAGGGTCGCGGCCACCGCGCCAAGGCTCCAGACACTTGGATCACGCCCTCCCCTTTGGTGTGGATGACCGGTTGCGTCTGCTGGACCTGCGTGGAGGCTTCCGCGTGGAATCTGCAGGCTTCCTGGCAGCCGGGGAACTGCAACGAAATTTCGCTATTAGTTTCACCGAGATAAATATCGACAGGCTGACAATCAGTAATTATTGGACATCTAATTTACATTCGGACAGCCATCGAGGAGTAATCGCGAGATAATTCCAGAAACTTAAACCGGTATAATTACGAGCGTACACCTGAACTCAATTAGATGCGCGCTGGACGAGTAAGCAAGTTGCCATAAAAGCGCGCCGGGTTTGCGGAACGTCGGGTTTAATAATATCCAGAACGCCCTGAGCTTCAGCTATTAAAAAAGACTATGACACTAACGGGTGGTTTTTGCTGCCACGGCCAGGAGGAAGAGGTCGGAGGGAATGTTATTAAATGTCCCAGTAAGCTGCAACGAAACGGATAAAACAGCGTTTTTGAAAACAGGCTGAGGACTCTTGTAATTCCGACGGCCAGACTTCCCAAAATTGGGACCACTAATTTGCGCAAATTAAATAATTAGAAGCAATTGCGGAGATAAATACAGATTAGGTGTACGTGCACCTGCATTTCCACCGTTGCAGGTTAAATACCTGCCTCCAAAATTGTAGACTTTTTGTTGCGCACGAGTTTCTAGGGGTCTGGTTACGGTCACGATAGGCTTTATTTAGCAAGATTATTAGGGCCATACTTCCAAGGTTCTGCTATTTCATTTCCAATGTAGGTGTAGTACTAAATAGGTTTCTCGAACAGTCTGATCAAAACACTCAGCAAAGGTCAGCACAAGTATTATGATTGGTTATACTTCGTACCCGTATGGTAGAAGTCTTGCCTGAATGCCGGTCATTTCCGGGTCAGTGGTGTATCTTACAATACGTTAATGTGTTATATATAGGGTTTCTACTCTGCTTACACCACTAGAAATCGGAATTTGTGTAAACTGTGCTCTTTCGTGTACGAATTAGCACCACTTCCTGCACTTGCTGCAGCAGGTCGTGATTTATGCGTAAGTGGCCCTAATCAGGAAACGTTTGCACCTACGCGGCGGTGCCGCGCCGCCCCCGGCAGTTATTAAAAATTCGCTTTTGTAGTTAGCGCTAGGCAAATCCTTTGAGCAAAACTTTTTCATGCGTGTCCTGATTTCTGGTTTAATTGCGGCCGGATTTATCTGCGGGCTGCAGCCGCCGCCGCCGCCGTCTCCTGTCGAGTCGTCCTTCATATGCATGAGGGCGGCTTAATTCTTCGCAACAATAGAGGCGTCGATCCCGAAGTTGGCGAAAACTGGGAAACACACTTTATTTGATTAAATGCATGTCTGGATAGAGAAACCGCATTAGTGTGGGAATGCAAAGGCAATAAAGAGTCGGAGAAAAATAATCCACGGACTGGAGGAACACAACAAACGTTTTAAATGTCGCATACTTGCTCGCACTTTTATGTGCTCTTAATTAACTATACGTTTAATGAATACAAAAGCCTCTCCCTGAGCAGGACTTTAGGAGTTTATTCTAGATGATAACGCACTTGTACGTGTATTTTATCGCCTGATTTGCGAGCGATTAATTGCATAAAGTGGTGGAATAATTATTGCCAACAAGCACTTTCTCTCGTCAAGATCCTGCTTGATTTATGGCGAAATCGAAACCGATTGAGCTAGTGACACGAGGGGCAGAAATAATGCGGTTTATGGTCTTACGTGTGCTAATTCGACCAAAGTTTCTGCGGGCAGTGATTTTCAATTAAAAGTGAAAATAAATGAATGTGAGATTTTATCAGTTGTGTAACAGTTAATTAAAAATTATGAAAGTATGCCATCTAAACTTTAATATGGTTAAAAGTCAAGAGTGCGTCATTAGCATGATTGTTCCTGGTGATATTTAGGCTTTTACGTTTGAGATGCGCGGTATTAATGAGCGTTTCAGAAGGTGAAAAATTAATTACATTCACAGACATTAAGCCAAAAGTTACGACATTAATCCGAACTTTTTAGACACAAATCTGCACAAGATATGTGTGTGCAGCAGATGATACAGGCAATTATTCATTCTTACGTAACATCATCTTCTAAAACATACTCCACTACCAAATTAAATAATTCTTGCCAAGATTAAAGAAAATGCGCTCTCATTTTTTTCTGTCGCATAAATTATCGTCAAATTAGAACATAATTTGTTAGAAGAAATATCTTATTCGATCTCCTATTGCAACAATTATCATAAACTATAGGTTACGCCCAGATATCATTATATTGCAACGGCAACTTCCACAGTTTAGCTTCTATTAATATGTGTAACGATTACGAAATTACCATGCAACGAATGGTAAGTCAAAGATTTTTTATCAATTTACACAAAAAGGAACAAGAGAAGCCTACTGATAATCAGAAACTGGTACACTTGTCAGATACATATTTCTTATTCCATTGATACAAGAACATGATACGGTTTAATAACTGATAACAGCGGAGGAAATCATGAGGAGGCGTTTGTAACAGGTTATGGGAACAAGTTGATGCAATATTTGATCAAAAATGACCATATCTCTATCGAATTGATACGATTTTTATGATCAAGAAACCAAACAAGGTGCAAGTGTTAAATTGTTTTATTTTTCAGTCTGTCTAACCCTCTTGTGTGGCTTCAGCTCTCGTATTTTCCGAGTTTCCAAATGAAGTTGGTCTCATTTAAAAAACAAAAAATATCTTTTAAAAAGCGATTTTCTTTGTACTCCTTCATTACAAGGTAGAAGCTGAAGAAAAAAATTGCATGTCACCCTTTGAAGAATTATCAAAGCGGAAATAAAATCACGAAAAAGATAAATTTCAAAACCTTAGACGAGTTAGATGTAGAAATTTACGAAATGTGTGACAAAAATGTGGCACCTATTTTGGCACTGTCGCCTAAGAAACTGGTCGAACAAAGCTTGGTTGTGGAATCAGCTTGAGAGCCTGTCGAATGTCGCGTTCCGGCTTTGTGTTCCGGCGAAACCTGAAGACGCTTTCATTAGCTTTGTTGATTTGTTACGAAATTAAAATTCTTATCTGTGGAAAGGTCTTCATTCTTGTAAAAAATCAGTTTTCATGCATAACAATTCGAATCCCTGTCTGTGTGGCACAAAGTCACGCTACTGTTGAATGGGTAGGTGGTTGGCATGTTTTGCATATTCAATTGTCATTGTTTCGACGCGGCTCGAATGCAGATAATGGCTTTTGCATCTCAAAGAAAAGATTAATAGATTTAATTTAATATTGTCTAGTTGGAATGGAACGAGGGCTTCGTGGCGGGAGCTTGTGCCTCGTGTTTATTAACTTTGCGAGGGTATAGTATCGGAATTTTAAAAGGAGAGGGCGCGAGTGCTTTTCCGGAATGGGATTTAAATTCTGCTCTTGCACGTCGAAATAGCAGGGGTATATCTCACCGGCCCCGGCAACGTTCAAATAAATAACTAATATTTATGTTCCGTGTAATTAAACTTTCATTATATTCCGGTTTGTAGTTTTGTATCTCCCGGTGCAAGTTATCTCCCGGGAAACCTCACGAACATCGGATTTTAAACAGCGTAATCTAGACGGAATTAATCAATAATTCAAACACTCGCATTGCATGACAATTCTTCATTATCGGCCGGTGAATGCTCCATTATGTGAAACGATACAATGCGAGCCATTATATTTGGGCAGTTACACCGTCGAGAGAAACTCCAACTTGTTACGTTCCGTTTTAATTTATTTTTACGCCTTCGGAACCCCGCGTTCAATCCTCGGATGATTAATGTTCTTTTTCTACTAACGTTTAATTCACAATACGTAACTAAATACTCACACATATCTCCTTCTCTTCGCACATGGCACCCCAAACTTGGAAGTTGGACTGCAACAGCTCGCAGTTTTCCCAACACTGTAACAAGAAAAAATTATTTACAGTTGCTGTCAGGACATGTTTCACTTTTTATCGGCGACAACTGCGCTGCTTAATGACGAAAGTGGATATTAAACGACCAAATAAACACAAAACACATGACACGACCGTACCAACATACACACATGTTCCAAAAAATTACGACCTCATCACCGCAACAGGCGCACCATCTCATCAACAATCATTACGCCACGGAACACCCAAATCGAGCGCACAAGGAACCAAAACCGACGACAAAAAGAATGCTGAAATATTAAAGAAGGCCCCGCGCTGCAATTTTATCAATAATTCCATCAACGAAACAAATTGGAATGAAATTATTCCCTCCAAGTGTATCATTAAGAAAGTTAAAACTTTGTGTGTCGCGAAACTCCCTCTTCGCATACGAATTCCTTTTCCTTTCATTCGATCGCTCCCCCTCGTCTTGCCGCAAGAAAAACTCGCAAAAAGCCCAACGATCATGAATTCATAATTACCTATCCTACCCAATAAAAACGGCGGATCAAAACATTTGAATGAGAATGTCAACTTTGCGAAACAGGCACAGGCACTTTTCAACCAACTACTCAATATTTCCTGCGAAATGATGATAAGATATGAAAAATAGCGGTTTTATGAGCTTTGTCCATTTCCTGCTATAACCAACCCCACAACATTATGCAAATTGGCGCACAAATTTTTTTTCACATGCCACGATATCTTACTCGCTCGCAACGCCAACATAAAAACATATTTGTCGTATTTATTCGGTCCTACTTCTGTGGAAGCCCAATGAATATAAAAATCCGCTCAACTATAGTTTCGCCGGATCGTTCACGACGTTCTAAAAAACGAAATCGCCCGGAAAATAGACCTACTCAATGAGGAAGAATATAAAAATGGAGAGATCTACAAATAACAACCTATACTCACTCTCCCTTCTTACTTACTTCTTACAAAACAAAACTCAAGGCAAGTTCGAACATTACGGCTCAACCAATTAAGTGTTACCAACTGTTAGTAATAACGATATATCTACATAGTTAACTATTGTAGCAGTAGTGGTGCGGATATCTATATGTCATCCGTTCTAGAGAAGGGACATTTAACACACATTGAGGGTTAATCGCCTCCCCCACGAGCATAGCAGTGTCTTTCTGCCAAACATCTGTCAATATCCTGGCTACTGCACAGGAACTTTCGTAGACAGAACCAGGAAAGATCTGTCAAGCACTTTCCAACTATAAATGGCGGTCCGTCAGCGCATCTTTCGATGATAACATCGTCACAATTCCACCGAGTTTCAACAAGTTGAATGAAGTATTGGCGCCTTATGTTACGATTCCGTCCGCAATTGCAATGAATTCGACAACAGTAAAGAATTCTTAATAGCATCGATCAAATCTTACCTCCCTTAAAGAGGAAGCAGATAGTCGTTGAAAAAAAAAAACTATTTAGATCCCTGTGTGATAAACAGGACGCGGAATAAAATCTCACTGCTGGAATCGCTCAGTTGAAGTAAGGTATGTTTTACGGCGCTTTGATCTGGTCCACAAGACGTCGCCAGTGGGTCTCACTAGGAGTGTTTACGGCTGCTAATACTACGTCAAATAATAGTACTCGATACCCTTTTTAACTTTTCAACTACAGAACCACAGAATTGTTACGAGTATGTTATATTATGTTGATTCTGAGATGATGTAATCAAAGTGTCGACGCGGCGGCACTGGATCGAGCGCGTGACATTTTATTCCGCGCCTTGGTGATAAAACACGAGATATCCTAAAGATCAATTCCCAGGGCCCTTACTTTTCATTATTTTCATAAACAATTTTTCGTCATCCACTACTGCCAATAACGCTGCGAACAATGCAACAAACAGCAGTACAGATTTAATTAATTGTATTTGAACAAAAGAGCTTAATCTTAGCAGAAAAGTAGTTTTCAGCAAACAGATTGATAATGAATTTAGGGGTTATATTTTTCCCAAAAACACGAAAAATGTCAAAAGTACCCGAAAATTAGAATGTTTTAGGTGTGATTATAGGCAATCGTAACAGATATGGAAAAATCATTTTGACAGCGTTCAAAGAAAAAATGAATGGAATATCCTACAGAAAAGTGATGTGGAAATATAACGGGTGCTCAATTCAAAAAGTTATCAAGTTGGTGTTGTTTGATAGCAAAATAAGTATCGAGAAAGGTATGCGTTTTATATATACTACTGTGTATAAGTGACATATGACACGTTGTTGAAAAGCGTTAATTTTATTATAAAACAAGTCACCCGATGGATTACAACACTTCCTTAGCTTAGGTTCGAGAAATAAAAGTGAGGTTAAGTTGTAAGTCCACGTTATTACCTGTCATCGATTCAGTTTTAGATTTGTTGCAGACATGCTTCACAATCTGGGGCGTGAAAGGCCAAGATTTCACTCTACTTAAAGGTAAATAAAAATTGGATCCGGGCACCGGCGCTCTGGTCTACCATGGGTACCGTCTGGAAAATTCCCGATTTCCAAATGGTCCCATCTGTCCCTACTCGTGATGACTTGTCTTTGAAGTAATATGAGAGAATCTCAGGGACCTTTGATTGTCCTCTTTTTGAAGTAAATTGTAAAAATCTCGGGAACCCCTTTTATTTTTTAATAGTTTGAAAAAATCTCGAGGATGCGTTTTGTTTTGTTTTTCAAGTAGTTTTTAAAGTATCTTGGGGATCCCTTGTCTTGTTTTTGAAGTAACTTAAAAGAATCTCGGGGACCCCTTTGTTTTGTTTTTGAAGTGGTTTGAAACAATCTCGAGAACCCCTTGTGTCTGGTTTTGGAAGTAGTTTGAAAAAATCTCAGGGAGCCCTTGTGTCCGGTTTTTGAAGTGGTTTGAAAAAATCTCAAGTACCACTTTTGTCTGAGGGTTTTTTGAAGTAGTTTGAAAGAATCTCAGCGACTCCTTTTGTCTTGTCTTTGAAGTAATATGAAAGAATCTCAGGGATCTTTGTGTGTCCTCTTTTTGAAGTAAATTGTAAAAATCTCGGGAACCCCTTTTATTTTTTAATAGTTTGAAAAAATTTCTAGGATCTGTTTTGTTTTGGTTTTGAAGTAGTTTTAAAGTATCTTGGGGATCCCTTGTCTTGTTTTTGAAGTAACTTAAAAGAATCTCGGGGACCCCGTTGTTTTGTTTTTGAAGTGGTTTGAAACAATCTCGAGAACCCCTTGTGTCTGGTTTTGGAAGTAATTTGAAAAAATCTCAGGGAGCCCTTGTGTCCGGTTTTTTAAGTGGTTTGAAAAAATCTCAAGTACCACGTTTGTCTGGTTTTTTGAAGTAGTTTGAAAGAATCTCAGCGACTCCTTTTGTATTGTCTTTGAAGTAATATGAAAGAATCTCAGGGATCTTTGTGTGTCCTCTTTTTGAAGTAGTTTTAAAGTATCTTGGAGATCCCTTGTCTTGTTTTTGAAGTAACTTTAAAGAATCTCGGGGACCCCTTTGTTTTGTTTTTGAAGTGGTTTGAAACAATCTCGAGAACCCCTTGTGTCTGGTTTTGGAAGTAGTTTGAAAAAATCTCAGGGAGCCCTTGTGTCCGGTTTTTGAAGTGGTTTGAAAAAATCTCAAGTACCACTTTTGTCTGGTTTTTTGAAGTAGTTTGAAAGAATCTCAGCGACTCCTTTTGTCTTGTCTTTGAAGTAATATGAAAGAATCTCAGGGATCTTTGTGTGTCCTCTTTTTGAAGTAAATTGTAAAAATCTCGGAAACCCCTTTTACTTTTTAATAGTTTGAAAAAATATCGAGGATCTGTTTTATTTTGGTTTTGAAGTAGTTTTAAAGTATTTCGGGAACCCCTTGTCTTGTTTTTGAAGTAACTTAAAAGAATCTCGAGGACCCCTTTGTTTTCTTTTTGAAGTAGTTTGAAACAATCTCTAGAACCCCTTGTGTCCGGTTTTTGAAGTGGTTTGAAAAAATATCAAGTACCACTTTTGTCTGGTTTTTTGAAGTAGTTTGAAAGAATCTCAGCGACTCCTTTTCTCTTGTCTTTGAAGTAATATGAAAGAATCTCAGGGATCTTTGTGTGTCCTCTTTTTGAAGTAAATTGTAAAAATCTCGGAAACCCCTTTTACTTTTTAATAGTTTGAAAAAATATCGAGGATCTGTTTTATTTTGGTTTTGAAGTAGTTTTAAAGTATTTCGGGAATCCCTTGTCTTGTTTTTGAAGTAACTTAAAAAAATCTCGAGGACCCCTTTGTTTTCTTTTTGAAGTAGTTTGAAACAATCTCTAGAACCCCTTGTGTCTGGTTTTGGAAGTAGTTTGAAAAAATCTCAGGAAGCCCCTGTGTCCGGTTTTTGAAGTGGTTTGAAAAAATCTCAAGTACCACTTGTGTCTGGTTTTTTGAAGTAGTTTGAAAGAATCTCAGCGGGTCCTTTTGTTTTGTTTTTGAAGTATTTTGAAAGAATCTTGGGGATCCCTTATCTTGTTTTTTAAGTAATTTGAAAAAATCTTGGAGTCCCGTGATTAAGGGTCGATGGAACCTATTGAACCAATCAGAGGAAAATTTAGACTGAAATTTCACTTCATTTAAAAGTATAGGTATAAAATTTGTATGCGGGCACCGGTGAGAAATGAACATCAGAAACGCTTACGAGCAGAATAGGACCAAGACAGGGATGTGTACTGAGTTCCCTACTGTTCAGTTTTATGTCAGATGAAGTAGTCAAAGCGTGTAAGAAGTTAAGAAAATATTAAATAGGATAATGAAAAATGAACGTAACAGAACAATAACGGAACTGTGCGAGACTGATGATCCAATCATAATAGGAGAAATGGAAAAGCAGTTTTAACGAGCGATATTGACATTTTAATGAGGAACTTAAGGAAAAAAATACGAAGATCAACTTCAATAAAACTACAACCATATTAAAACAAGCTTCCTTGGTATAAAAGAAGTCCCTACAAAGATAAAAAAACATGTATAGCCAAGAAAATCAAAACTAATAGTAGATAACAAATAAAA